AAAAAAAAAATTATTTTTAATATTAAAAAAATGACTCTTAACTAAGTAAATATTTAATTTTTAAACTTTTCTTCTTTGTATAATAATTTTAAAAAATATTCCAATAAAAAATTTTGTTCAAAACTTTAGGAAAATAAATATTATTATTATATTATTTTATAAATATATATTTAGTTTCTAGATCGATCTTATTTATATTTTATATTTTATACAAACGTATGTTGAACAATTGTATCTCTTAAAGCGGAAACTGTGGTAATTTTTTGTATCGACGCGAGAGATTTGCCAATTTCAAAAAAAAATTTGTATCAAATTTGAACGAAGCAAACAAATTTGTTTTTTTTTCTTTTTTGAGAAATAGACGAAAAACTACGGGAAAAAAATCTTGAAATGAGAAAGAAAATTATGAGAAAAATTAAAATTTAGATTTCTTTAAAGTTTTGAACGTTTGAATAGAAATTTTTTCTCCTTCGAATATTTTCGAATATTATTAACAAATTGTGTTTCATTAAATTTATTTAATGGAAAATGAAAAATTAATTTAACATTCAGTAAATAATTCATTATTTTTAATGTGTAAATTAATATTTTTTACCAAAATTCAATCTTCTTGGAAAGTAACAAAAAAATTCGTTCAGAACTCTAAGGACTTAAATTTAGGAAAAAGATAAACAAAGAAAATATTTTAATTAGGAACAATTTGAATTCAGGAAAAAATTAGGAAGGAAAAAATACTAAGGGAAAATTTTAACTGATAGAAGTATAAATAAAAAAAAATGGTTGGATTTGTTGGATTTATTTCAATAAAATAAAATAAAAATTTAATTTAATTAAACTAAAAAAATGTAATGATCGAAAATTTGCGAGCTTCGTTTTATTTTGTTACAAATCTTTTTTTTCGGTTTCGCGTCGACTCTTGAGGGCATAGATACGTTTTAGAGTATAGAATAATATTGGAGATTTAAATAAAATAAAGGTAAAAAAAAAATAAAACAAAAACATTTTCAACTAAATGTGCATTTGTACAAAATAATATATTAATTAAATAACAGTCATTTACAACTTCATGCCACGTGTACGAAAAAAAGAGGGCTTTGAAAACATTCAAGACTGCAATAATGAATTAACACATAATTCTGGCCTATTAATTACTACCGATATATTATAATATCTATATATTGATCGTAGAAAAATGCTGTTAAGTGTATGCATAAGATTGTCTATTATCTACATTGCGCGTGAATTACATGTTTTGTGATTGCAAAAAAAAAAAAAATTTCGAATGTTTCTTATATAAATATATATTGTCAAGTTCTCTTCATTCAGTGATTTTTCTTCATGTCTCAAAAATATATATATATACTAATATACTTATAAGCATATTGAATTAAGAAAAATAGAAATATAAATGAAATTTTAATAGATTAATAATTATTAATTATCTAATTAATTAATTTAATGTTTTTTCTATTTTTATTTTTTTACCGCCGTGCTCATTTTAATGAAGAGATTTCACTGAGAAGTCCATTCGAATATTGGCCTAAAAGTTCTAATTGTTAATCTTCCTTTTTACTGAATAAAATTCGAATGGCCACTAACATTATTTTAATTAACAATAATTACTAATTTGCTGGTTTTTATAAACTTCCTTTTTCTATAATAATATAGAAATTTAAGGAGAGCGAGAGAAAAAATTGTTCCACGAAAAAAAACCAAAATCTAAGTTGTTGATTATTTTGTTATTTATTTGTTATAATTGATTTTATTATCATAGAATTGTACAATTTGAGCAAAAAAAAATTTATGCACAAATTCCGAAAAAAACAAAAAAAAAAAAAAATGGGAAACAGAGTGTATGCTTGTATTCTAAGAAAATTATTCACGTATAATAGTGTAACAAAAAAAGATTTTAGAACAAAAAAAAAAAAATATGGAAAGAGAAACTACACAGTATTTGGGACCCTTCGTAGAACTTTTTTTAAGTAAACTAATTAAATATAGTGTTAAACGAATTTTCGCTAATTATTCAAGAATCGAGAATATTGTCTAAAGGAGAATAAATAAAAATTATGTTTCATTCAAGTCAAATGTTTAAATAATGACGAGAAAGTCCAGATAGTATTAATGAAGTATTAAATAAGTACTCAGTAATTAAGTACTTGGATTATTGCTTTAATTTACTCCTAAAATGAGTAGAGAATATTTACTAAATAATTGAGTAATTATTATGACTCGATGATTAATTATTAATTCAGTAATTATTAATTCGATGATTATAAATTCAATAAAATTATTAATTCGATAATTATTAACTCAATAATAATTAACTTAATAATTATTAACTCGATAATTATTAACACAATAATTATTAACAAAATAAATATTAACACAATAATTATTAACAAAATAATTATTAACACAATAATTATTAACAAAATAATTATTAATTCAATAATTAATTGTTAAGAGTTAAGACCAATAATTTAGTTAATTATTAAGGCAATAATTATTAACACAATAATTATTAACTCAATAATTAATTACTAAGACCCAATAATTGATTAATTAATAATACTCAATGTTAAGTAACAATTACCTGCTCAAGAGTAAAAAGTATTAAATAATGAAGTAATTAATAATTCAGTACTAAAACCTAATTAAGTACTAAACATTGCTAAAAAAAAAAATAAAAAGATTTGACCTTATGAAAAAAATCAGTTTTAAAGTTTGAAAATAAAAGAACTTGAAGCACGTTTTTAATATAGAAAGATAGCTCCCAATAGGTACAAAAAAAAATTATTGTAATTAGAGATAAGTGTGATCGATAGTGAAAACTAATCTTTTGTCTGAATAAGGGAAAAAAGCTCGGTGGTAAAAAGTAGAGCTTAGTATTTTATATAATGGAAGAATTAAAATATAAAAAAAGGCAGTCGAGTGGCAGCTATATACTGTTATCTGCGAGATTAAAATTGTATTCAAAAATATTACTCTCCTTTTTAATGGACTTTTCCAACAAAAAAAAAAAATATAGGCGTCACTATGTCAAATTTGAACATTTTTAAAATTCTCCAAAAAATTTTTAATGAACTAGAATTTCTATTCCCGTAGTGTTTTTTTTTTAATTTCTCAGCAATACCAAAACGGGAGGAGATCTATCTCAAAATATAAAACCAATCCATGATTGTGCCAAAGGCGTTTATATTTTAATTTATTGATAAGAATAATCGTTTTTTTGAATTTATTTTTTTTTGTAATGTTATTATTCACGGATAAAAACAGGTCGAAATGTTATATCTAAACGGGTTTATTGTACCGATGATTATTTATCGGTATTTAAAAAATATACTTTGTTTTTTTAATTTTTACATTTTCTATTACACAAATAATTTATAATAGTGTATTTTTTTCAATTTTCTTTGTCTGTCGAAAGAAAACATACTGTACATTTATTGTTTTAATTTTTTTTACTTGACGATTTGTATAGATTTTGTAATTATTTATTTCTTTTCGGCAATATATTAATTATTGTCATAAAACTAATTGAAATATCGCTTTTAGAAAATTTTATGGAAATTAAAAAAGCATAATGGAAAGATATGATTCGATGATTTGAAACATTGTAGTTAAAGTGTCTTTGTAATGTAGTAAATTATTTATTAATTGTAATAATGCTTTTAAACAGAGTATATAGTGAATAAACGTTATATTAATAGCGCTTAGAAAAATGTTGGTTTTTAAGTACTTTTACGACGAATGGCCAAATCTGAGATAGACTGTATATATATCCACTTGATTGTTAAACGAAATAGTAATTAGAGTGTAAATAAAAAGCTTTATCCACGTAAGTTCATTTATTTTCTTTCTGTTCCTTTCATTAATTAATTAATTTTTAGATTGAATATTATTTATTAATAATATAACAGGGGAAATTTACTTAAATTGATGAAAAAAATAGTTGCGCCGGGTAGAATTGCCTCAGATTGATGAAAAAAATACTTTAGGAGTTTAGGAGCATCCAAAATATAATTTTTTAAATTATAAGATTAATGAATTTTTTGAAAAAATGAGTTGCATTAATTTGTTAAGTTGAAAAATTTCCTTTTAAATAATTGAAATTCTCTTTTTTACCAAAAACCTACAAAAAATTGCTGTGATCCCTGATATAAGTATAAAAGAAATATTAGGAAAAAACGAAACTTTTAATTTTGAATTATTTCATAGATAAAATTTCATTATTGAAAATAATAATTGGGTAACGGTAAAATATTTTTAAGGAATAACAAGGACGTAAAGGGTTCTCCTTCAAAAAAAGATAAGACATTCTGATTATTAAAAACTTATTAAGAAATTTAATATTAGCATAATCTTGTACTTGTAAAGTTTGAGCGTCAAGCGTAACGTAAATAAAGGAATTAAATAAAATTTGATTATCTCAATAGATTAGATAATTTTTTTTTATACAGTGTACTAGAATACATGTATTTATAAAAAAATACGAACGTTATATTCCGAAGTATTATTAATATTATTATTATTATTTCATCACTAAATCGCGTTGCGCTTTTGCAATTTATGGCCGTAAATGAGTAAAAAACTAATTACAGTGTGCGTATAAAAAACGCTTTCAGTCGGTTTGCAAGAATGCGCAAGAATCAAGTCTAACTAGGAAAGAAATTTTTATAAAAATTCCCACCTAGGCCACTTCTTTCTTTTTTTTTTAACTTTTTAAAATCTCCAAAAATTGATAAAAAAATTTTATGCTTAGTTATTTTTTAATTATCTATTTATTAAAAAATTCACATTAGTAACTTATTATTAAAAATGCCTTACTTGTTATTAAATATTTATGAGACTGTCTCCCTTGGTTACTGATTTTTTTTTTCATTTAGTAACGGTTTTTTTCTTCCGCCGCTCAGAAATAGTAAAATTTGTTCTTTCGCGTTCATCTTATTTTGATATTAATTTAACTTTTTTGACGCCTTTATGAATTTCGGGGAAAAAATTCGGCTTCGTCATCGACATTAAAGTGTGTATACTCACAACGATAAATTGTGACAAATTTTTGCTTTTTTTCAATTGCTTTTCTTGTTTGATGATATATATATTTATAAAAAAAACGCTCAACTCCCTACAATAAGACACATCGTCTTCTTCTCACTGGTTCTGGCGGCTCTAACGCTGCTAAAATTGCTTCGTCAAATACATTTTTTAGTCCTTTCTGTAAAATTTAATTGGCATTAAGAATTGATAATTAAAATTATGATAAAAAATTTTCTAAGTTGTATTTATAGGAATTTTCTTTCTGATTTTTACCTGAGTGAGGGCACTGCATTCGACGTATTTCACTGCCTTGAGTTCCTTGGCAAGTTTTTCTCCTTGCTCACCGGTGATTGGTTTCTGTTTATTTTTTGCAAGTTTCTCAATTGTGGCTGCATCATCTCTCAAGTCTATTTGTGTCCCAACTAATAGGAAAGGTGTTTTTTGACAATGATGTGTAATTTCAGGAACCCACTGTAAAGAATAGTCAAATTTTAATATCAAGCAAAAAAAGAAGTCTTCTTCTTACTTTCCTAGTATCTAATTTAGAAGTTTAAATCAGTCATTCCATTATATTTCGACTCAAAATTATTTGATACTCTATAAACTATTAGATACCATTATAACTCAAAATTATTAGATACTCCAAAAAATATTCGATTACATTTAATTGCGAATTTCTTTAATTGTAAAATTATTCGAAAACATCAATAACTTCATTTTTCAAAAAATATTTAATCATTATTTTTCCATAGGAATTAAGATTTTCAAAATTTCAAATTTAAACCTTTTTGAAATTTAACAACTTATAAGAATATTTATTATAAAACATGAAGAAAGTGATTACTCCGAGTCTTTGACTAGGAGTGATCGATTTCTTCATTTTTTATAATAAATTAAAGATAACAGAGTGATAAGATCATTATTTTATATAATAGGAATATTTTTACTGTCATTTTTTCAAAATTATTTTCATCATTTTAATTTAATTATTATTTTCGAGAATTTTTAAATAAAATTCTTCTTTAAATCAATTATCTTTAATAATTTTTGAAAAAGTTCTTTGAGAATTTTCAAATCCATTTGTTTACAATTCAATTTTACGAAATTTCAATTCTTCAGAAATTCTTCAATTAAATACGTATTAAAAAATAAATACTTTAAATAATTTCAGAAAAAAATTCAATTAAACTTTTTCAAAAATTAAATTGAGAATTTTTAATTCTATTTGTTTACAATTCAATTTTACAAAATTTTGATTATTCAGAAATTCTTCAATTATATCTTATATTGGAAAATAAAAACTTCAAATAATATTTTTTAAAAAATGCATTGAACTTTCTCAAAAAAAATTAATTCTACATAATTGCCAGTTAAAAGTATAAAAAATTAAAATTTTCAAAGATTTTAATTTGAAACCTTTTCAAAATTCAATTATTTCTAAAATTCCATGCTAAAATGTTTTAAATATTCAATTATTATTTCAAATTTTTACTAAAATTCATTTTTAAATCAATTTTTATTAGAAAATTCGACGAGAATTCAATTATTTGAATATAAAAATAAATAATTTAGTGAATGTTTCTCAACACAATTTCTTCATAGAAATTAATAAATTTTTTGAAAATAATTCAATTCTTTCGTGAAATTTTACTATTTCATCGAAAACAAATTGAAATCCTGCGAAGAATTTTATTTTTTATGAAGATAATTGAATTCTTTTAAAAAAATTTAATTATTTATGAAAATAATTGAATTCTTATAAAGAATTTTATCAAAAATTTTGAAAATAATTGAATTATTTCACAGAATTTTATTAAAATTTTCAAAAATAATTAAATTCCTTTAGGGAATTTAATTCAAATTGAATTACAAATAATTCAATTCTTATAAAGAATTTTATCAAAGTTTTTAGAAATAATTGCATTCCTGTTAAGGATTTTGTTATTTATGAAAATAATGGATTTTTTACGAAGAATTTTATTAAAATTTTTGAAAACAATTGAATTTCATCGAGGAATTTTAGTATTTGATGGTAATTGAATTCCTGCCAAGAAATTGACTAAACTTTTTGAAATTATTTTTATTTTCAGCGAAGAATTTTATTATTTATAAAGATAATTGAATTCTTGTCCAGAAAATGATAAAAATTTTTGAAAATAATTGAATTTTTTCTAAAGAATTTTATTAAAATTTTTGGAAATTTTATTGAAAACCTGTGAAGGATTTTGTTATTTATGAAAATAATTGATTTTTAGTGAAGGATTTTATTAACATTTTTGAAAATAATTAAATTCCTAAAAAGAATTTTATATTATTTATAAAAATAATGGAATGCCTGGAATAGAAAATTGAATTTTTTACGCGTTAAATATTTAATTCCAGATTACCTTTTCTTTGACATTTTCAAACGACGAAGGCGAAACGACAGAAAAACAGACGAGAAACACGTCAGTCTGGGGATAACTTAATGGTCTCAGTCGATCGTAATCTTCCTGACCTGAAAGATTTTTAATTGGAAATAATACTCGAACATAAACGTAAAGAATACAAATAAATTATCAGAATGTGAAGAAAAGTGAAAAAAATGGTAAATAAAATTAAAAGTTTATTGCTAGTTAAGTAATTAATTATTAAAATTTATTAAAAGAGGCGAAATCTTACCAGCTGTGTCGAATAATCCAAGTGTGTATGGTTCTCCACCGATCATTACTGTGACGGCATAATTATCGAAAACAGTAGGAACATATTCAGATGGAAACTTGTTTGTAGTGTAGGATATCAAAAGGCATGTTTTACCAACAGCTCCATCTCCTACTACCACACACTTTATTGTCTGCATTTCTAATCGATCTACTTAACCTGCGTAATAAACAATATCTCCTTTAATATTTCACTTTAAAATTAAATTCAAGAATTGTTATTCAAGGAATTTCAGAAAAAAATGTCCCACAGATCGATAACAATAAAAATCAAAGCAAATTCCATAAGAAATGACAGAAATCTCTTAAATCTATTCTAAAAAAAATTTTATACAACATAATTAAATAAAATAACAAATAAAACAATACCGAGAGAAAAATTAGCTAAACAGAAATATGCTATTATTCGATCTTGAAAACAATCTTTCTAAAATTAAAATAAAAAATGTTTGCAAAAATTTACAAAACGCATCAACAAATCATAATGCAAATTTCACAATTATATTATTTTGAGAATGAATCATTTCAATCATTTTCAATAGTTAGCGTGACTATAATGACAACTACCATATGCAAAATAATTCATTAATCGATAAGCACCCTAATAATTATTCTCGAGTCTTTTACAATGATTTCCAACAGTACAAGAATTGAGAAATAACCAATGTTTACAACAATACTGCTTAGAAAAATAATAATAAACCTCTGGAAATATGACAAGTGAGAAAGTTGGCACATGTTATACTAAATAAACTTAATGACCATCGGAATAGTTACGATTGTAATGAAATTAAGAAAAACGAATAACAAACAATTGTCATTGTTATTTGTATGTTAACAAGATATTGAGAGAAAAATGATAGAAGGAACTATGTAAATGCACACATATGCACATTTGGAAAATTGTTTTCAGAGCAGCCATTTTGACTGATACGGCAAGTAGCTACATTAATATTAATTCAATTTTAGTTCACCATTATAAGACACTTTCGTTGTAAAAACGGTAAAATCCACACTTGGATGTTTTGAAAATGATTAAATTTTGTTAAATAAAAAGTAATAACACTAAATTTGTAAAACTCACAATTAACAGGGCGTCGACACAACACTTCACTGTCAAAAAACTGAAGTAAAAATGTAGAGGGGAAACTCGATGGTGAATTTTGAATGCGTATGTCGTGCGATCTGATGGGAAATCAATGTCACTGGGGAGAAGCGGCAATTTTAAATATCACACTTAATGGGAAATTTAAAAAAGAAAATTTAAATAAATGAATACCGAAGTAAAATACAATCATTCACTTTCAGGCCTCGGATCGACTTTAATAAGTAAAAAAAAGCCACTTTAGTCGGTTAAAAATAGAAAAAAAGTCGAAAAAGTCGTATATTTAATTTAGTGTTGTTACAAAAATTTTATTTTGTATTTCCCTGATTCTTCACTGATTTCTAAATTCAATAAATCAAAATTTGAATAATTTTGTTAAATAAATATTAAATAATAAATATTTCAATTATTTAAAATCTTTTTAATTGTATAATTCAAAAATTGAATTAGAAAAATTATTCAAAAATAAATTTTCAAAGATTTGTCTATATAGTTATGCTTTTTGCACTATAAATACCACTGAGAAATCAATAGTTATATAAATAAATTTATTTACATAAAAATTGAATGTACAAAAATTGATGAAAATTATTTACAAATAACAGTCGTTGATTTTATGCAGAAACGGCACATCTGAAGCCAACATTTCCAGCGGATGTGTCTGGAGTGTTTTGACTTCGAGCAGCGCATCTGTATCGATAACAATAACTTTTATGACAAAGATAGGATCCACCTTTTTTCACTTTGTCAAGTGCATTATCCGCTCCAGTCTAAAATCAAAAAATTAATAACCAGATAATAAAAACGAAATTTTTAACTGAAACACAAAAAATTAATTAGTCTTTTTTGGAAATCCTTCGCACAAATAATTACCGGATTTTTTTTCTCAGTCTTTGAATGATCAATTTGCCACCAATCTGACGTCCATTCCCAAACATTTCCGGCAATATTGTAAACACCATATTTATTTGGAGGGAAATTTGTGACTGGAGATGTGCCGATAAAACCATCTTCTCCTGTATTACTGCCTGGAAATTCTCCCTGCCATATATTTGTCCTAGAATAATTATAAAGTAAATATTATAATGTAAATGTTCAATTATTTTTATAAATAATACAATTTTTTTTAAAAATTCAATTATTTATAAAATTTTAATAAAATTCTTCGCTAAAAATAAATTATTTTCATAAATAACAAAATCCTTTACAGAAATTCAATTATTTCCAAAAACTTTGATAAAATTCTTTATAAGAATTGAATTATTTTCAATACAATTTTAATTAAATTCCTTAAAACAATTTAATTATTTTTAAAAATTTTAATAAAATTCTGTGAAATAATTCAATTATTTTAAAAAATTTTTATAACATTCTGTTTATGAATTCAATTATTTTCATAAAAAATAAAATTCTTCGCCGGAATTTAATTTGTTTTCGATAAAATAATAAAATTTCACGAAAGAATTGAATTATTTTCAAAAATTTTATTAATTTTTATGAAGAAATTGTGTTCAGAAACACTCAATAAATTATTTATTTTTGTATTTAAATAACTGAATTTTCGTATAGAATTATCTAATAAAAAGTTGATTAAAAAAGGAATTTTAGTAAAAATTTTAGATAATAATTGAATATTAAAACCACTATAGCCTGATTTTTTTTTAGAAATACAGTAGAGACTCCATTATCCGGACTAATGGATGCAGGCACTTGTCCGGATAATCGAAAATGATTCCAATAGTGGTTAAATAAATTTAACTAATAATTAGTTATTGTGAACTATTTCATTAGTAAAATATTAATTTTAGTAATGAAATAGTTCACAGTAAAATATTAATTTTACTAATGAAATAGTTCTGAATAAATAATTATTATTTAAATTTATTTTTAGCTTATGTCAAAATAACTGAATTCTTTTGGCAATTAATTGAATTAGATAAATTTGACTACTTTTTTCAGTCATTTATTTATTTCAGTTAGTAATTTTCTACCGATAATTAGTTATTTTTTTTTTTTTTTACTAATTGCTGAAGCAAAAAGTCAGCCACGATAATTTTAGTATAATTATTAGTTATTTTCAACTATAAATTCAGATTTAGAGAGCTTGCATAGAAAATTATAAATCATTTCGAGATCTAATGATCTCGAATTATATATGTGTGTATATTTATCATATAAGTTGAGAGTAAATCTTTTCGTGAAAGACAGTTCATTATAAAGTTCGATTGCATTTCACGTTATATACCTGTGCTCGTTATTAGGAGTTAGTTTATTTCCCCAAGGATAAAGACGATCCTTCAGACCACCACGACATGTGACTTCCCACTCAGCTTCTGTCGGTAATCTCTTTCCAAGCCATTTGCAATATGCTGATGCATCGTGCCAGGAAACGTGAACCACCGGATGATCTAATCTATCTGAAATATATTTTATATTCAAGAAATATTCATAATTATCCATAAAATAATTAATTCGTTATTTTTTTAGGTTATATGCGTAAAAACGCTTGACATTTCACTCTTACTGCTAAAATACGTAAAATACTATAAAAATCAAGAGAAATTTAAAGAAAAAAAAATAAGAAAAAATTAAGAAAAGCATTTTTACCTGTTATATTAGAATCATTGCCTTCGGGATGAATCCAGGAAGCACCTTTAACAGGTAACCACCAAGGAGCCGCTTTGACAGCCTGATCAATAGTTGATTTCAATTTCTCACTCAAAAGTCCCTCAAATACAAAGGAATCACCAAATTTCTCCGCCTCTGTCTGATGATTAGTTTCAGTCACAAATTTCTTAAAATCCCCATTGCTCACTTCATATTTATCAATATAGAAACTATCTAAAATAACTTCACGTCGTGGTCCTTCTCCATCTGGAGCAAACACCGGCTCATTTGTACCAATAAAATAAGAATCACTCTCAATTTTCACCATATTTGAATATTTATCTTTATCATCAGCATTGTGTAAAAAATGACTCTTCAAATCCTCATTATTAGTGATAATAAAGTTATCATTATTTTTATGACAATAATCACCGTTAGTCTTGTCACATTTTTCTCTATTTAAATTTTTTCCACATGAACATTCATTGGAATTATCGGCAACAACGTATGATATTAGAATAGTAAAAATAATTTTTCTCTTTAATGATCGAAACATTATTTTTTTAAATTAAAAAAATATGTACCTTTTTTTGACAGATTCATTAATGTCAACAACAAAAACAAATATGCTTGTCACATGACGCGATTGTCAGTTGTTCCCTACAGAGTGCGCGATTTTTTTTTAAATATTGCGCATGTGTAGATTTATGAATTTTTATTGGTTCTTGAATATATCAGTTCAAAAAAGTAAGTTTTTTATTCTCAAGATTCGAAAGTAAATTTAAATTATTTATTCGAATTGTTTATTCAATAAGGTGAATGAATAAACAACTGATTAGAAAATGTTTAAGTTTTTTTTTGCTAAATTGTAAAGAAATTAATATTAATTATTGATTAACATTTTTATGAGGATCAGTTGGTACCAGTGGCCGAAAAACGCGGGCTTATTTTAATAATACGATATTCAAAATTTTTATATTCTATTTATTTATTATTCCATACGTATTTTATTTAATTATTTATAATAATACAATTATAAATTTTTGTCTATAAAAATTAATTGTATTGATAATTATATTTTTAAACATAATTGAATTCGATCAAGAAATTTTATTAAAATTATATTGAAAATAATTCAATTCTTGTGACGAATTGAATTTTATTAAAATTATATTGAAAATAATTCAAATCTTGTGACGAATTGAATTTTATTAAAATTATATTAAAAATAATTCAATTCTAAAATAATCCGAGAAATGTTATTAAAATTATATTGAAAATAATTGAATTCAATTGAATTTTGAGAAAAATTGTAATTCTTTTCAGAAATTTTATTAACATTGTAGACTGAAAATAATAATTGAATTCTTCTAAAGAATGTTATCTTCATTTTTCATAATAATTGAATTCTTTCAAGGAAATTTATAAAATTTTACTATAGGTGAAAAAAATTATATTTTTCAAATTTATTTATATTTTAACAAATATTTTTAAAAATATTTTATTTTAACTGTTTAATTAAAAATTAAATATTAAAAAATATTTATTACAATGAAATAATGGAGTTGAAAATAATTTGTTTCTAAAAAATAACTCTTATTTAAAAATGTAATTGCCTTTATTAATAATTATTTATTATTACAAAGGAATATTTTTCATTTCCTATATTATTTATTTACAAATGATTGAGTAGATTTTTTCTAAAAAAAAAAATTATTTAGTTACTATTACTATTTTTACTTTTTGCCCTTTTTTTTAACAAGAAGATTTTATTTCAATAGCAAAATAAAACATATATAGTTATAAAAAACAAAAGATCTACTAGTAATAATCATTAGATATTTATAAAAAAATCTCTGTAATATTAAAAACATTTAGTATAATAATTATTATAATTATAATATTCATTTCTCATAATTAATTAATAGTTGATATTAAATTAATTATTTAATAAGCTAACTTAATAACAATTAATTCATTAAATTGATAATAATTAATATTAAATTAATTAAATAATTGATTGATTGATTAAATTAATAAAAAATAAATGATTTGATTATAAAAAATATTATTCAAAATTAATTTATCAATCAATAATTAATTATGAATAATTTCCCAATTATTATTGTAATAATTATTGATACGTAATATCCAATATTATTTCTCTTGTTTGGAAATTAACAATACCCATGATTACAGAAAATGTGTATTCAATAATTTGTTTAATTCAGTGAGACATCGAACCAATCAAAATAATAAGACCAATTGTTAAATTTATTCTTTTGTTTAAAGTGAAAGTTTGTTTATTTAAAAAAAGAACGAAACGGTTTTTCTGAAATTTGTACATAATCTTTATTTTATGTCATGGTTATTTCTTATGGTCTTTGAATAATTTCGAAAAATACAAAAAGTGTGTCGTACATTAAAATATTTTGCTGATGCGATTAATGATTTTACTGTTATTAGATCCATTTGCTAAATATAAGTATGAAAATATATTTTTGTCAGTTTTTTTTTTCTATTTTTGTCTCTATTATTGCTACTATTTTTGTTTCTATTTTTATTTTTATTTTTATTTCTATTTTTGTTTCAATTTTTTTTTCTAAAACAATTGTTTTATATTTTTAATTTCAATCAATTTCATTTCGAGTAATGTATTATTTTTAGATTCAAGTAATTAATTATTTAGAATTTAAATAAAATTATCGTTAATTATCATTTAACGACAAAAAAAATTAAATTTTATTACAGATAATGAGTAATGATATACATACAATAATTTGATTCTATAATTATTTGATTATTTATATTTATGAATAAACTTTAACAAACAATGCAATTTGAGAAACTGCAACTTGTATAACTTTCGAGTTAAGAAAAAGCTCTTCTACAGGAGTAATCAATATTCACTAAATTCTTTAAGATTTTCTAGATAAAATGTTTTTTAAAAAATGTATTCTACATTTTCAAAATAATAAAAAAAAAAAAATTCTATTTACAAACATTCGTTTAATTTACTGACTTTTTTTCACTTCATTTCCAAAAAAATATTTCTATAATTTCAAAACAAAAAAATGTTTTTTTTTTCAATAAATGAATATTTCGTATTTTTTTCAGCTTAAAAAAATAAATAAATATATTTTCATATTCGCATTTTAGATTTAATTTCATTATATACTATAAAATAAACGCGATGATAATGAAAATAAATCTTGTGTTTGTGTGAGAGAAAAAAAATGAATTTCTTAATATTCTAAAAATTTTAGCAAATGTCAGTGATCACAGATAGGCTTATTAACAACAAAGAATACATTGAGTTCGACAATGGCAGCAAATACCAAAAATATACCGTACATTGAGAGGCAAATATAGCCAACTCTTTTGTCTAATTTAAATTTATTATTGGCAATAGCGCCGTATAATAAAATTAATGTTGAGAATAAAGATATTGAACTGTACACAAGACCTTCTGAATTAATTTGTACATAATGTTGGCCTGGCACCTTTGGTGAAAATATCGCCTTTATAAACCAAGGGAGACCAAGGCATAATAATACATCAAAAATATTCGATCCAATTGAGTTACTTATTCCCATTGTTCCGTGGCCTGTCAAGAAAAAAAAAGAGATTATTAAATGGAAAATTAGTTTCTCTTTATATTTCTATTTTTTCTTTTGCTTAATTAAGTTTGCTTACTAAAAAAATTGTTTATTATTTCTGTTTGAATAAATAAACAAATAAAACAAAAATTTGAATAATTAAACTCTTTTTTACAAAAAAAATATTCATTTTTTTGTAAAAAAGAGTTTAATTATTCAAATTTTCTTTTATTTCCCTGGGGTGCATTATTATTCAATGAAGGAATTTTTTCCATAATTTTTAAAAGACAATTTTTATTTACGAATTTCCAAAAAAAAATTTTTTTATAAATCAAAATTTTATTTGACAGAATTTACATTACGTTGAATTTTAATTTATAAAAATTTTCATTTGCTAGAATTTTTATTCAACAGAATGTCAATTAGACGAATTTTTAATAGACATAAAAATATATTAGAGAGAATTCTGTCTTAGCCGAATTTTTATTTCTCGAAAATATTATTGAACAGAACTTCGACTAAAAAATATAATTTAACAAATATTCGGTGAAAAAAATATTTTATTAAATAAATAAATAAATTTCTATTCTGATAAATAGAAATTTTAGTAAATAGAAATTTTGTGCAATTAAGTTCTAGTAAAGTGAAATTTCTGTAAAATATAGAAAATTGTTAAAATGGAATTTCCGAATAATATTTCCGAAAAATAAAAAATCGACTAAGAATTCTTTCTATAATATTTTTTTTATGTCTATTAATAATTCGAGTAAATTGACATTGTGTTCAATAAAAATTCTAGCAAATCAAAATTTTGCTAAATTAAAATTCAACGTAATGTAAATTCTGTAAAATAAAATTTAGATTATAAAAAAATTTTTTACTATTAAAATTCGTTTAAATGAAAATCGTCGTAAGTAAAAATTCACAGAAAGAAATTTCGATTAAAGAAAACTTTCTGGCATAAAAAAATTCTGTCTTTCGAAAATTGTAGAAAAATTCCTTTATGGAATAATAATGCGCGCCCTATTTTATTTGGTGCAAAAAAAAAGTAGAAGATAAATAAAAATTGTTTATGAAAAAAGTAATTATATTTTCCATGAGTGAAATAGGAGTCTAAAAATGAAAAATGATATATTTCGTCTGAAAAATTTAATTTAAAAAATGAATCGTGTCGAAATTAGGTTCAGATTTATGCAAATTTACCTTGATTCGTGACGATGACACTTGACACTGCCTCGGGAACGCTCATCCCAGCAGCGAGGAAAGTTAATCCCATTACAGAGTCAGGAATCTTGAGAGTATCACCTAAAATAGATTTCTGATGAGTAAAAGGGGAAGCAAGTTTTTCAAAACAAAAAAATTTATTTTTGAAGTAAATAATTATTTATTGCTATATTAATATAATAATTATTTATTGTTGAAGTCAATAAATAATAATTGTTTGTTGTTAAAAGTATATATAAACATTATTATTATAGAAGAACAATGTAATAAGCAAAGTTGAAATTAGTTTACCAATAATTGTGATATCCCAGGCAACCATATATGACATGGATGCAATCCAAACGATGCACATTGTAAATGTCAGTGGATACCAATTTCTCAATGATTGCCTTCGGCAATCTGGAATTGTCACTAAAAGTAATAAATTAATTGGCCAGGTGAAAACCCACCAAAGTCTCTCCATTTTTGGATCTGGCCAATTTGTCATATTTACGATGTCAACTGAAACAATGTCATTTTTTATTTATTATACAATTTTCAATTGTCAATTTAATTAATTTAATTTTTTAATTTCATTTAATCAAATTAAATAAAATGAAACAAAATAAAATAAATCAAACTAAAATAAAAGTTAATAAAAAAAGAGACATAGGATTAAAATAAAATGAATAAATTAAAGAAATATTCTCGATCAAAATTTTAAGAAAAGGAAAATTTTCTTCAATTTTAAAATAGAGAAATCAATTTTTTAAAATAGTTAAAATTTAAATTAATCAATAAAATAAAAAATTATTAAAAGATAAATAAATTCTACAAATTTAATTTATTTAATTAATTAATTAAATTTACTTTTTACGAATTTACATAAATTAAAATTTCAATACAACAAAATTTGAATTTAAACAATACAATTCTCAATTTAAATTCTCCTTTTCTCTTCGAATTTTTGAATCATAATTAGAAATGACTTTAATTATTACCCCGAAAGTACAATGCCAAAAAATGAATAAATAATTTTCATATTATAATAGGATTCTTTCGAATAAAAATTTCATTATTTCCTAACAATTGTGCCAGCGTGCTTTTTATGAGTCGCGGGTTAATTGCAAGCAAGCTCTGTGTATTTGTATTCGCGACATAAAGTTTTCTCTTTTGTGCTGCCGCCTTCAGCGTGAAATCATTGTTGTTACCACTATATTCAACGAGAAGAAAAAAAAAAACCTCGAACAGAAAAGACTACAAGTTGCTTTGAGTTTCATTTTCTTTTCTTTTTGGTTGCTTCTTAAATATTAAATACAACAAAAAATTACAAGCCAAAAAAAGGAAAAGAAAAGACAAATTTTTCTCAAAGAAAAAAATAATTAAAATTAAAGGGGAAGGGAGAGTAAAGAAATATTATCGAATTTATGAAAATACTTACGAGAGTCATCACTACTGAAGTCGTCACTATTACTCATATCTAATACCTCCGCACAGTCTGAAATTACACCTAATTAATTAATAAATTTAAAAATTCTAACCAAAATTAATAAATTTGTATAAGAAACTTAAAAAGAAAAATAAGAATCGAAAATTCAAATAAAAGAAATTTTCACAATAATAAATAAATTTTATAATTGATTTATATGCTTTTGCTGCAGCATAAAAACTGTTATACCATAAAAAAGTGGAAATTTGTTAATTAAAATTTTCCTCCGTCTTTCAATCTAAGCATAATCAATGTTGTTAGAGTAGCGAGGTGAGAATCGACTAAAACTTGACCTGTTTTTAATCACCTGTACGATGCCAAGTGGCATGATAAAACCAGTCACAAGAAGAATATTATAAATTAACAAAAAAAAAAAAAAAAAAAAAAAGAAAAAAGAAGAGCAAAAATGATAAAATATTTGCAAATAATTAAAAAAAAAAAAATTCCCCTCCTATACTTTATTTCCAAATTAAAATTGTCAGTTCATTAATAATTCTATTATCCAATTATTCCGTTTATTAAGTTTTATAATTATGTAGAAAATTAATTTATTAAAATCGTTATTCTTTGCCATTAACAGACAAAAAAAAATGTAATTATTTTTCTTATTTCTTATTAAAAGAATTACTAATGGAATTTTCAAGTGGGAAGTTTCAATGTAATTTTATATTTAATATAATATGAATCAGATGATTTTGTCACTTTTCAATTGGAAATGGATAAGTCGAAATTAATTAAAATTATAATTAAATAAAAAAATTTACCATTTCTTTAAGGGGTGGGTTCAATAAAATTTTTAACTATATCAAAAAAATAATTTTAGTATTAAATGAAATTAATATTTTTATCAAGAATTCAATGGTTAGAAAATATTTTGACTCTTTGAAATTTTATTTTTCTCAAAAATCAAAATTTGGTATATTTTCTAATTCATGCGTAATTTTGTAGAAAATATGTTTTTATGTAAAAAATAAAAATTGCCGAACGAAAAAATTTATTTAAACTATTTTTAAATGGATAAATTATTATTCAATCATTTTTTTTCAACTAATTTCAAATCATAATTCTATCATAACTTTTTTATATTTTTCATTTTTTTGTATAAAAAAATAATTGAATTTGAATCAAATTTAAAAAATGAAATTAAATTTTTAAAAATCAATTAAATGCGATCTTTGGTTCAAATTCTGAAATTATTGATTCAAATACGATTTATTTGATTTGAATAAAAACTATTTGATTCAAATAAATATTTAATTGATAAAAGACTAGTAATCGGTTATTTCGATCAAATAAATATTTTTTTCAGCGAACAATTTTTTTTTGGAATATTTAAATTATTTTCTTGATATATAGTTAATAATATCGGCGAATTTACACCTTCCTTTTAAATAAATAATGAAAAAAATAAAAAAAATTGAATAATAAAAAAGTATTTCTTACTATTAGAGAAAGCAGTGTCCTTTCCGTTCGCATAAATTGGATGAATTGTTTGACTCGCCATGAAGGAATCAGTAATTTTATTATTCGTAATTAAGGGTGTCTCCTCATTCAAATTTTTGTATTTCCTTCTCTTTGACACTTTTAGATGCATATATTTATTGATACGTTTATTAAAACACATCGCTGCAATAAATAAAAAGCAGTTAATTCCAATTTTCAATTTCGTTAATTAAACACTGTTTTTTATGCTTAAATTATATTTACATTTTTTTTTCTTTTTTCTTTCGGCTCCTTAAATTTCGAACATTTAAATGAAACGCCATTTTTGTTACTTTATTTAATTTCTATTTTATTGAAAAAATTATTTTGCTTATTAAAATAATTATTTTCTATTATATTAAAAAAAATTGTTTAAAAATATTTATTATATTTATTATTTATTTTATAATTTATTTATAATTTATTTATAATTTATTTATAATTTATATCTATTTGAAAATATACTATTTAAAATATACGTATTTAAAATATACGTATTTAAAAATATTTAAACAACAAAAATTTCCCTTTATTTGAATTAATTGAACGTTTGAAATTTTAAGGAAAACTTTTGTTCCTATGATCCACAAGTTTTGAACGTTCAAATGAACGAAACACTTTTTATTAAAAATGTTTTTATAATTTATTGTTTGCAATAAAAATTAAAAACTTAAATTTTACACTTAGAAACTTTATAATTCATTTATTTTATATCGACAAAAAATTATTGTAATAAATATTTAAATTAAAGAAGAAAATAAATAAATTTCGTTCATTTGAACGTTCAGAACTTTAGGATCATTTGTTCCTAATTACAGAGAAATGCAATAAATAATTTTTCTCGCAATTCGAAAAAAAATTCACTCACCTAAAATGTATAAAATATAGGAAATAACGAGAATTAATGCTTCGTACCACTCGATACGACCGTCATGTAGTGTTATAATTAACAAAATGACTGTGAACCCATATGCCAGAGAATCTCGACTTACGGGCCACCAATCCAGATCTAAAACCTAAAATAATTCAAATTTAATAATTTAATAAAAATTAAATATGGAAAAATATTAAAATTAAGTAAATAAAAATAACAAAATATAAAATTAATTTAACTAATTAAACCTAATTTATTAATTTAAAAAATTATTATTATTATTATTAATTATAATACTTATTTTATACAAAGTTGATTATATTTTATAAAAATTGAAAAAATATATCCTTCTCAATAAATGAAAATTTAATTTTAATTAATTATTGTAGAAAAAATAAATAATCTGAATTGATGATTAAAAATTTAATATCAGACTTTTATATATAGAAAAATGATTTTTTTTTTTTGAAATGAAAAGAAATATATTTGAGAAAAGAATTTTCTGTATAATATTAATCTTGCCTGCGTAGCAAATAATCCACAGCAAGCAGGTACTGCGAGAATATTGAAGACTGCAGAACCAACGATAGTACCAATTCCCAGATCTCCTTCGGTGATAAATGTTCCCACCACATTTATGAATAATTCTGGACTGGATGTTGCAGCAGCCATAAATGTAGCGCCAGCAACATCTTTTGTAATATTAATGTCTATAAAAGAAATAATAATTTTCATAAATATCCATTACAATAATTATACTTTATACTTGTAACTAATGAATCGTTACATTGTGACTGAGTTACTAATTAGTGACTAATTAGCAACTGTCACTGATTTGCAATTATTTATTTTATTCATTGCATTAATTTTTTTTATTTTCATTAATCCATTTATTTTTTTACACCTATTTTTATATTTTTTATCTATTCTTTTATCTTTTTCTATTTTTTGTTTTTTTCTATTTTTTTTTATCTTTTTCTATTTTTTGTTTTTTTTTATTTTTTTATATCTTTCTCTATTTAAAAAAATTGTTTTTTTATTTATTCTTTTTTATATTTTTTCAAAATTGCGATTTTCTTGTAATTCCTCGAAATTATAAAATTTGAAGTATTTCGAAAATATTATTGAAAATAAAATTTTTTGTACGTTTCCAATTTTTTATTAATAAAAGAAAAAAGTGTGATACTTAATTTGTTTTCAATTACTCACTTTCGCAGATCCTTTTTATAGATGGAACGAAAAAATCGTCGCACACAATGGCGAGAAGTAAAAACATATAAATAGCAAGGATAAAATGAATCGCTAAATAACCCGACGCTCTTTGTGATCTCGTCAATCCATCAGATGGAAATTCTTTTATGGCTGGCGGTGTGCAATTTCCATTTTCCTCTAATGTCACGTTTTCCTCCAATTGTAACAATTTTCTTGATCCTGTTTAATAAATTCAAAGAATAATTAACTTACGTTGAAAAAAAAATAAATTTCTCCTTCAAACGAATTTAGATTATTTTAATATTTCATGCATTAAATAAAATTAGTAAATAAATAGGTAAAAAACAAATTAAGTAATCAATAAGTAAATAAATGTATAAAGGAATAGGTAAATATAAAAGTAAACAAATAAGTAAGTAAAGGAGTTAATAAATAGGTAAACAAATAAGTAAGTAAATGAGTAAATAAATAAGTAAACAAAGGAGTGAATAAATAAGTAAATGAAGAAGTAAATTAGTAAATAATTGAGAAAATGAATAAGTAAACTAATAAGTAAATAAAAACGTTAATAAATAAGTAAATACAGGAATAAATAAATAAGTATACAAATAGGTGAATAAAGAAGTAAACAAAATATGTTAATACAGGAGTAAATAGAGGAGTTAATAAGTAAATACTTGAGTAAATAAAAAAGTAAACAATGAAGTAAAAAATTAAGTAACGAAAGGAATAAATAAAAAAAGTAAACAGATAAGTAACTGAAGGGGTACATCAACAAGTAAATAATGAGGTAAAAAATTAAGTACATAAAAAAGTAAATTAACAGTAGCAAACATTTCTACTGAATACGAGATATAAATTGAAATAAATATTGAGATAAATTCAAAAAGAAAAATTTCCTATTCTATATATATATATCATTGAAAAAACAAAATTGCTTTTTCCTGAAAGTATAAAAGCACTTAACGAGAAATATTTTTCTGCAAAAAAAAAGGAAAAAAAATAATAGTAAATATTTAATATCTTCCTATAATGTATGAAGCTTTATCAAATTGTAATCAGATTAATATTTCAAGATTGGATAATTTTGTATCTCTTTAGTTTCAAGAAAACGTCAAAATATAAAGAAGATTTTCATTTTGATAATGTAATAATTCAAAATTAACTACGTAGTTAATTTTATTTTGAACAAAAAAAAAAAATATTAAAAATAATCTAGTCTTTGAAAATCAATCTCTCAAAAAGAAAAAAACAAATTAAAAAAAATAAACGTAACGGAAGAGGAAAATTTAACGAAATTTATCTTTACAATTCATTTCTTTTTTTAGAAATATAAAATTAAATAAAAAATTATTCGCATCTTTGAAAATCGCAGCTCATTTATCATAAATTATTTTCTCACTAGACAAGAGAACTCCAAAATGTTTTTGACACAAATCCTTGTTTGCAAAGTCTTTAGTCTTATGTCTTGTGACTTTGTTATCATTCACAATCATTGACGTCAATCATCTACCCCCATACTTGCAAATCTTTCGTATCTTTTTTTTTCTTCACCTTTTTTTGAGAAATCTCTAGATCTTTAATTCATAGAATTTGGAATTTCACATCTTTTCTCGTCTAATTTCTTAACAACGCAAATAGTCGCATCTACGTTTACATTTTTACGAATAATCAAATATTTTAATTAAATTTCACTAATCAAGGATTTTAATATAATTATTATGATTTCTTATATAATAATTTATCATTGTAATTGTTTATTAATTTTAATTACACAAATTTTAATTGCTCTTCAGCAGTAATCGGTGGTAAGTATTAAATTATTAATTAGTAATTAATTAAATGATTTAATAATTACGAATTATTCAATTAAAATATTGATTAACTATTAATCTCCACGTTAAAATTAATTGAAAAATAATCAATAATTTTATATAATTTAACAATCTGAATAATAATTATTATTTACGTTCACATTATTTTCAATACTCAAGTATTTTATTTAAATTGCAGTCATCAAGGACTTTAATATAATTGAGCTTTTTATATAAATTATTATACAAAAAAATAAAAATATAAAAAAATATTAAAAAATATATAAAAATATTACAAATGTTTAGTAGTTTTAATTGCAAAAAAGTGAATAACCTTCACTAGGAATTTCTTTTTATGTGAAAATTAATTACAAAATAATAAGTAATTTTATGTAATTGAGAAGGTGAAAAAAAAATGTTTATAAAAAAAGATACGAAAGGAAATTTTTGTATTTCCAATAATTAAGAAATTAATGATTGTAAAAATAAACCCATTAAACAATTAGCAATACGTTCTATTTTTTTCCTATTTTCATTTTTATTATAGATTTCTTTTGTTTTTCAAAATGCAATAATTACACAATTTAAATAATTTCCTTGAATTATAGTCAATATCAGTTGAGTCAAATATTGACCAATTCTATATCATCATATTCTCAACAAGCAGTTTAAAAAAAAAACAAAAACAAACAATGGTTCAAATAAATTACTATTCTTCTCGGAAAAATGTACAATTTAGTATTAAATTGGATAAAAATAATTTTTAAAAGTGAATTTCTTTCTCTGAAAATTGATTATGGAATTATTTAATAAAAATTAATTAATTTACTTTTGACAAATTGATTGTAAAATTATTTATAATATGAACTTTCTTTTTGACAAATTGATTGTAAAATTATTCATAAAAGTGAATTTATTTCGAACAAATTGATTATAAAATTATTTATGAAAATGAATATTAATTTACTTTCGACAAATTGTAAAATTATTTATAAAATGAAATTTCTCTTTGTTAAATTAAATGTAAAACTATTTATAAAACTAAATTAATTTAACTTTCAAATGAATTTCATTCCGATAAATTGATTATGGAAGATTAAGAATTTAAAAATATTCCATTAATATTCTTTTCTAAATTCGTAATTTTCATTAATTCAGTTTTAGAAAAATTGGTTAACTTACACTTTTTAAATTATTATTTCAATTATTAATTTAATTACCCAATATTCAAAAATTCGTTCACTCATATTGTTTTCGATAGACATTTTTAATTAATACTTATTCTTGCAATTTTTTTCAAAATATTTCGTAACTTGTATTTCAAATACCAAACAGCTTTTTATTATTTTTTTGTAGAAAAAATATTGGGAAACCGTTAATTGATTACAATTTTGAATTTTACAATTTATAATTAATAACAATTGTACAATTATAGTTAGAGAATTAAAATCACTTTTCATTAGTGGAAGAATTAAAATTTTCATTAACAGCTAATTAAATAAAAAAATTGTACTCACCGACATTATGGTAATTGGTGATATGATTTTCGGTATCAATTTTGGAGAAAACTCCTGAAACGCTAAGGCAAAGATAATACATCGTTGGTATAGCGAGCACAACAAATAACCGAAATCCAACGATGCGTCTATGTCTTTTATTCCTGGCATTTTGTTTTTTTTCTGGGTTTCCAGGCCCAGAGATTTGCAATAGCTTTCCAGTTTCCAGTTTGGAAATATAATAATTTTTGATCATATATAAAAATTGATGGCGAAACGTCAGAGTTTAATAGACGACGTTTACCTTGCTACTGGTAGAATTTTGAGCGATACACAAACTGCTATTACTTTTCACTACACACATTATCTTATTCAAGATGGCGATAAGGATAAGATATATTATTCGTGTTGTATATTCTCTCACTCTTTGGGGGGGAAAAAAAATCCAAACAAACTCTCCCTCAAAAAGAAGGAAAATTTTTCTGATAATAGCAGTATCGACATTGACCGACGGAAACTTTCTTATTTAAATTCCAAAACAACGTTTGTATTTTTGTTTTCATTATTTTTATAATTTAATTAAAAATTAATTTTTCATTCTCAAAAAATTCTTTATCTAAAAATAAACAAATTTTCGATATTTCAGGGAAAACATTTAAATTAAAACCGAAAAAATAGATCATTTTTTTCAAATATATTAACATTTTAGTAAATTATTAATAAAGTTATTAATTTCTATTATTTTTATTTTGTTATTTATTATTTTTCTTATTTAACAAATGTATTTAACAATATTCCTAAAATTCTGAATGTTTAAATGAACAACGATACTTTTTATTACTTTTTTTTAATTTCGATTTTATTGCACAATATTGTTTTACGTATTAAACAAATTAATTTTTAAGTGGAATTAATGTGTAATTAATGTCAACTTTAATTTCTGCAGTAATTTTTAAAAATATCCCACAAAAAAATTATTTTTACTCATTATTTGAACGTTCAAAATTTTGGTTAAATTATTTTAACAATAAATTTTAACTAAAAAGAATTTTTTAACAAATATTCAATATTTAAATTAGTTCCAGAAAAAATTTTTTTGACATTTTATTTCAAAAATTTGTAAAAAATATCTGAAAATTTTTATAATAAAAAAATAACCATAAAAGAAAGTCAAAGACCAAAACTGAATTTAGAAATTTTGTCTCCAGTAATAATTAGAAAAAAAACTAAAATAAAAAAAAAAACAAGAAACAAATTTTATTAATAATAATAATTTATATTTGTTACTTAATAATTAGCAAAACTATTTGAATCAAAGCGTAATTTTCTACGACCGAATTACTAATTTTTAAACTAATTCAAATTCAGAGAGCGCAGTTCAAAATATTTTAAAAGTAAATTTAAAATATTTAAATACACGGAGAGAGAATATATATTAAATTTTGTAAAAATATTTTCAAATTGGGGAAAAAGTGCGACAAAGCGAAATTTTGATATAAAAAATACTAAACTTTAAAAAAACTTATGTAAAATTTAGTATAATTATATTAAATATCAAGAATATTAATTAAATTCTAATATAACTTTAATAAATTTCACAAAACTTTTTTTAAAGTTTAGTATTTTCTATATCAAAATTTCGCTTTGTTGCACTTTTTCCCCAATTTGAAAATATTTTTACAAAATTTAATATATATTCTCTCTCCGTGTATAGAAATAATAAATTAAAATTAAAAATTAATAATTAGTAAATAATTCATACTTTGGAATTAATTTAAAAAGTATTAACTATCAATTACTTAAAAATAAATAGTTAGCAATTCGATTACATTTTGAAATGAATTGAAAAATATTTGTTTAAAAATTCTTCTTAAGTTGGATTTTCAAAAAAAAAAAAAAAAAAAAAAATTGCAATATACACGTGTCAAGTGAAAAAAAATTAATTTCTTTATAATTAAAATTGTTTCAAAGTCGAACCTTAATTAAATAACAAAATATCTTGGGACTTACCTGAATTTTAAGATTAAATCCATCCAACTGATTGTGATTTAAAGATCACCTTCCCTATTTCGTAATTTTTCGTGACAAAATTTTAATGATACTAATCATCTCTTGATTTTCATCGATTTCTGTTTCACATAATCTGCTATCAATAATTTATTTCAAAACAATAATTTCAATGATTTTTCTCTTTGCACATTTATGATAATGGATAATTTGAGATTTTTTTCTACATCACTATTTCACTCTTTTTTCTTTTATTCTTCTTCTCTCATGATTTTCCATTGCACTTTTTCACTAATATCACAAAAAAAGCAGTGTAAAAAACATTACTATTTTTAATTAGTATTTTTTCTCCAGTCAGGAAATATTTCGGTCCGAATTATTTTTATATTTTTGGTTTTTTTTTTAATAATTTATAATTATAAATTTATACAAAAAATCAGGGTTCATGTTCTTTTCCGCATATATTTTGTTTCAAAGTATGGAGACAATAAAGTATGATTTATATAAGCACCATAAAGTCCATAAAAAATTCAAATTCTATTATTCGACTTATTTCTTATTAAATTTGATTGTTTAAAAATTTCTCGTTTAATATATTAATTTAATTATTTAATTAATATTTAAAAATTTATTCTTTGATGTATAAATTCAAATATTAAATTATTTTCTAGAATTTTTAACCCAAATTCTGTTCTAAACCAATTATTTTTAATAATTTTGAGATAGTTCCTTGAGAGTTTAATTTTATTTTTAAAAAAACCAAAAAAAAAAAAAAGATTCACTTAACATACACAATTTAAAATTCAATTATTTTCAATTCAATTTTACAAAATTTCGATTATTTAATACTTTTTCGAATTTATTGTATGTATTTAAAAATTCAACTAATTTAAAAAAAATTTCAATCGAAATTTTCGAAACACGAAATTGTTCAGCATTTTGAAATTCTAAAAAAAAAAATTTTTTTTAATTTCTACTGACAACTTTTCCAAAATTTGATTTTCAGAATTTTTAATTAAAATTTTTTTCTAAATCAATTATTTCAATGGTCCCTGAAGCATTTTTATATAAAAAATACTAAAGTTTAAAGAAACTTATATGTGAAATTTCGTATAATAATAATTGTATTAAAAATCAAGAACATTCATCAAATTTTAAATTTTACTTAATTCTATTAAATTTTCTTTCTGTTTTGTATATTTGATAGCAAAATTCTCTTTGTTGCATTTTCTTCCCAAATTCCATCTCTGAAATATGAAAATTCAGAGAGAAAAAAACCGAAAAAAATTCGAATTTGTGAAAAATTCTGTTGAAAGCATGGCTTTAATAAAAATTCTCCACAATTGTGAAAATAATTCTACTCTGTAAAATAATCCAAACGATTTTAATCCAAAACGAATTTTTATGAGAAATCAACTGTTTTTTTCTTCACTAGAAATTTATCTAATTTACTCGTTCTCATAAAAGAAATTTTCCCTTTTTCTAATACATAAAAATATTAATCATCGTGAACTAATTTTAACCGAAAACTGAAGACATTAAACATTTCCTACATAAAACTGAGGTCTAAATTTTTTTTAAAGAATATATACGATACAAGAAACATTGCACTTTTCTGATAATTTTAAAAAAATGTTTGAAAAAATCAGTAAAAATTTAGTTCTCATATAGAAGTCCTATTGAAGACATGTTAAAAATGCTTTGGAGATGAAATTACTTTAGCCATTGTATAAATTCAGTTGAATAAAATTGTTTAATTTTTCTTAAATGATAAGTGCTTTTGTTACTATAGTTATAATAATAATTAGAGAGTAAATTTTCGAAAAAATTAAACGAGACATGAAAAATAGGTGACTTTCAGAAGAATCATTCGCAAACAGGAATGAAAAGTGAAATGAAAAAGTACATTTGATATGGAAGAGAAAAAACAAGAATCAAAGTTTTTTCGCATACGAATCGTGAATCTCGGACGAATGAGAAGGAGGGGCATCATGCTATTTAACAAAACGATGTCAGACTTCGGAGTAGTTGTTAATGTAGTATGTGTGTGACAACGGGATTGACAGGATGGATACGTCTGACCTAGGAGGAGGTTGGTTTCAATATTTTCAATAATATTACGTAACCATATGTGTGTCGTGTCGGTTGCGTGGCTATTAAGCTAATCCCCAGCAAATCTTAATCAGCCGTTGTTACCCCGGGTGAACACCTGATGCCTCCTGCTTGATGATAAGCCTCCAACAACTTTTAACCCCTCCAAGGTGAAAAATTCATCTCTCCAATGAAAAATTGCCATCACTCGTCATTCAAGTGTTGTCCTTTTTGTACCAATTTTTTTTTTTTTTTTTGATTCCCTACTAATGAATACGGAACAAGGAATACGGAATACAAATTATCCGTATTCATTAGGTCAATTAGACTATGGTGCTTTAATTGAAAACAAAGTGTGCCTTCACTTCCTTGTGTTTTGAGATTAGTGCAATACTTCAGAATTTTAACTATAAGTATACACACCGGAAGAAACAAACTCATCAAGGAGTTGAAATTTTGGTATAGGTCAAGTAGTTTTTATATCTCAATTATTGTCAAGGACTTTTGGAATTTTCAGTGTTTGTTCGATCTTCAAAATTCAACCCTTGTACTCAACAAAAATTAGGTCAAACAATTCCAAGTTTCTCTTCGAAGACAATAGAGAGAGCTAGGCATTTAATAATTTCCCGCACTAAAAGATAATCCCCGCACGGTAGTTTATGTTTTTGTCCATATACTGAATTACCACTCGGTCTTTGTTAAAATATATCTTAAAATTAGAAGCAAAAAAAAAATGGTTCGAAACAATATAAGTATTCACAACTTTGTTGAAACTATCAAATTGATACTAAATTAAATCAAATTGATACCAAACATGTAGATCAATTTTTTTTTATCCACATTTTTGGTATCAATTTGTTGCAATTTGATACTATTAAGTTAACAGTGTTTTAAAAATACAGACTTTACGAACAAAGAATTAAAAATTATAGACCATTTACGGAACAATTACTGACAAAAATATAACCAGTCCGAGTCAAATAAGAAAACATTTTATACTTAAAACTAAAAATGAAATTTATAACTATATATCTATATATAGATATCGATAACTCGGAGTCTTCAACTCGGAGTGATCGATTATTTCTTCATTGTTTTATAAAGATTAAAGATGACCAAGTGATAAAATCACTATCAATTCAATTATTATTTTCAATAATTTTTAACTAAAATTCTTCTTTAATTTTCGAAAAAGTTCTTTGATAATTTTCAAATTCATTTGTTTACAATCCTCAATTTTACGAACTTTCAATTATTCGTAAATACTTCAATTAAATAAATAATAG